CTAGGGACACAATATCGTCGTTATCATTCACAATGATGTTAGCTTGTTTAACTGATTGTCTTTAACTGAGAGTAAACCAGGACTGCAGTGGTTTTAGGAGTTGTTGTGACAGATGACAGATCAAACTCGCCGAGAAACATGTCTAATGTTCTCACAAATAAAACCGAAAGGGAAAATCTTTCTCACTCCTTTTCTGGAAGGAACACAAAGCAAATCCACTAGAACTCTTTCTCTTTCCTTTCTTATAAACGGCCAAACTCACTCATTAATAACAAACAATCATTCATATTCTTTCACACATACAATATTTCAATCTCTAAAGGAGAAACTGACGGGTTTATAAAGGACAATTAGACCAACATTTTCATCAATTAAAGCTCAAAATGCTCAAAATATAAAGTAATATATTATGATACATACTTAAAAAGTATATTAATCTATATATATATATATATATATATATATATAAGGTCATTAAAATGCTTACAGTGTTGAAAACAGTCATTTAAAAAAAAAAATTCTTTGATGAATAGAAAGTTCAAAAGAACCGCATTAACCTGAAATATAATCTTTTGTAACATTATAAACTACCATTCAAATGTTTTTAAAAAAAGAAATTACTTTATTTCAGCAAAGACACATTAAAAAGTGAAAGTAAAGACATTTCTAATGTAACAAAAGACTCTTTCAAATAAACGCTGTTCTTTTGAACTTTCAATTCATGAAAGAATCCTAAAAATAAATTTTACACAACTGTTTACAACATTGATAATAATCATAAATGCATCAAATCATTGTATTAGAAGAATGATTTCTGAAGGATCATGTGACACTGAAGACTGGAGGAATGAGTAAATTCAGCTTTGATCACAGGAATACATAACACTTTATAATATATTCACAGTTATTTTAAACTGTAATAATATTTCACTGTTTTTACTGTATTTTTGATCAACTAAATGCAGCCTTGATGAGCAGAAGAGACTCATTAAAAAAACATGAACGGTAGTGTATATATACTACACGTGTAAATCATAGCACCCTTACTTTAGTGTAACATTATTAATATTATCCATATTATTCGAGGTCTACGTCAGCAGCGCCGCTCCACTTTGACCCGTGACGTACCGGAAGTTTGCGCGTGACGTTATCCGTCTTTGTCCGTCACAGGAGCAGCTAAACGGTGTTGAAAAAAATGAACCCCGAATAACACAGAATGTGAAGCCAGCGATATTTCACACCGTGATTCCTCACAGTCTCGTCAGTTTCTGTGAAGATGTGCGATCTGAGCTCCGCGCTCATTGAAGAGGGCTGGTGAGTCTTTACTGAGTGCTAACGGCTAACATGCTAGTGATGCTAACTCATGTTTACATTCGTTTACTCACTCCGTTTGAGTTTTAGCAGGAGTATATAAGTTCATTTAATATCACTTCATTAGTTTATTTCATTGTCTCTGGCTGTTAGGTGCAGATAGCGACTAAATGATTAGCACGATATTCAACATTTGTTAACTGCTAGTCTATTACCAGTCAATTATTAATACATATATTATATATGTCATGACTGATATTTTAATAATCATCTGATGAAGATTCTAATCGACACACTCGGACTGTCACGTCAACTTTCACAATCTCTATTAAATAAACACGTCACAAGAACAATTAACAGCGTCTTTCAGTATTTAGTGTTGATGTTTATTAATGTTTATTAATGTGTGTTCAGTTCCTTTACATCTCACACTTAACTGAGTGTTATATTCAACTACCATGGTATCCAGTGCTAATACCATGGTACTTTGATGCATTGGTGTTTATCACTGCATTTACATTACTATGGTAAAACTCATGGCCTTTAAAGATATGTATTGTAATTGAAATCTACAGATGCAAATAGATAAAGTGCAATAAAATAAATGCAAACGTGTGTATTTTAGATTATCTTTCCACTAGTCTGAAGTTATTAAAGCAATATAATGCATGAAAAACCCGCAGTGGATTTGCCCTATCATATTTTGTATTGTCATTGTAATTTTTCTGTTAGTGTCACTAGATAAATATGATGACATGGCTTGGGGTGGGTGAGTAAATTATGGGATAATTTAAATTTTTGGGTGAACTAGCTCTTTAAATCTTAAGTTATAAACAAGCTAGGTCAAAAGTAATCTAAAAGTAGTCTGAATACAGGTTAGGTCCATGATTATGTAAATTATTAACATAAATCAAACTCTTTTGCTCTAAATTCTCACTTTTCTTCACAGGTACCTTACAGATGAAGGAATAGAGGAGTGTAAAAGTTCTTCAGAGAAGGAGAAAACATCACTGACTGACATCATCCAAGTAGCGTTAAATGTAAGACTGATATTTGACATTGTCATTATATATTCAAAAGTGTCACATTTATAAACCAGTTGTGTTTCTTTGTCTATTTGTGATGATGAGTTATATTCGGGTTTCGGCTCTCCACACCTTGATAAACAGAACATGAATAATACTAGTGTTATATAATCCCCAGAATGATCTGAGACCCATAGGAAAGAGCTTTCTGCCGGCGGACATCAACAGTGGCCGAATAGAAAAGGTATTCAAGCTAACGGACTTGACTTATGTTGATCATTAGGAAATGGATAGGATTTTCCCATTGGATTTAAGCTAAAAATCCAGAATAATGCAAAGATGACAGACACTGTCCAGCAAACAATTAGACGTCATGCACTTGCTAATGCTGCCCACAAGATGGCGCTGTTATTAAAGAGAACATCAGCAGGACTTAATGGAAATATATGTTAAAGCAAAAGGGTAAAACACCCCAAAAGTACATGATGATTCTGCTTAATAATGTCTGTGAGCTGTTTTTCTGTAACAACAATTGACACTCATGATGCATTATTACTTCCATTTTAGCTTTTAGCGTTTTTTCTGTGTGTGTGATGCAAGATCCCTGTGCTCTCCCACAGTTGGACGGTCCGTGTGTCCTCCAGGTGCAGAAGATTCGTAATGTCGCTGCTTCTAAAGACCACGAGGAGTCGCAGGCGGCCCCCAGAATGCTCCGTGTGCAGATGACAGACGGACACACACTCTGCACCGGCCTCGAGTTTAAACATCTGTCCAAAATCAGGTACAGCTCATGTGTGTCTGAGGATATTTGCATCTGTCTTCCTGCACTTTTTAACGAATCCTTGCTGAATACAAGTATCAATTTCATTCAAAAGACCCTAAACTTTTGAACACTAGTGTAGGGGAGAGCCGGGACGTTTGAAACGGTTTAAAGTTAGAGCTGGAAAGCTGTTTTTGAGTGGGGTTAGTGATTTCTTTCGTGCCTTACTTTTTTTTGACTGACGAGTTGTATTTATTGTTTCATGTGCCATTGTAATGATAATACGGCAGGTGTATTAGTACTGCAACACACCCTTAAGTGTGTAATATCAGAGTTTTTAAGTTTAAGGACAAAACGGGTTTAACTGGCAGGAGGCGCGGTCGGGACGGGTGAAACAGCGACTCCTGCCAGTTAAACCTGGTCATAGGAAAACACTCAATATGACTCAATCACTCAATATGACTCAATATGATTCAATATGACTCAATATGACTCAATCACTCAATATGACTCAATGACTCAATATGACTCAATGACTCAATATGACTCAATGACTCAATATGACTCAATGACTCAATATGACTCAATGACTCAATATGACTCAATCACTCAATATGACTCAATCACTCAATATGACTCAATATGATTCAATATGACTCAATATGACTCAATGACTCAATATGACTCAATGACTCAATATGACTCAATATGACTCAATCACTCAATATGACTCAATAACTCAATATGACTCAATATGACTCAACATGACTCAATGACTCAATCACTCAATATGACTCAACATGACTCAATGACTCAGTATGACTCAATGACTCAGTATGACTCAATCACTCAATATGACTCAATCACTCAATATGACTCAATATGACTCAACATGACTCAATGACTCAATATGACTTAATCACTCAATATGACTCAATCACTCAATATGACTCAATATGAATCAACATGACTCAATATGACTCAATGACTCAATATGCCTCAATGACTCAATATGCCTCAATCACTCAATATGACTCAATCACTCAATATGACTCAATCACTCAATATGACTCAATCACTCAATATGACTCAATATGACTCAACATGACTCAATGACTCAATATGACTCAATGACTCAATATGACTCAATGACTCAATATGACTCATTCACTCAATATGACTCAATGACTCAATTACTCAATATGACTCAATCACTCAATATGACTCAATATGACTCAATGACTCAATATGACTCAATGACTCAATATGACTCAATGACTCAATATGACTCAATGACTCAATATGACTCAATGACTCAATATGACTCAATGACTCAATATGACTCAATATGACTCAATCACTCAATATGACTCAATGACTCAATATGACTCAATATGACTCAATCACTCAATATGACTCAATAACTCAATATGACTCAATATGACTCAACATGACTCAATGACTCAATCACTCAATATGACTCAACATGACTCAATGACTCAGTATGACTCAATGACTCAGTATGACTCAATCACTCAATATGACTCAATCACTCAATATGACTCAATATGACTCAACATGACTCAATGACTCAATATGACTTAATCACTCAATATGACTCAATCACTCAATATGACTCAATATGAATCAACATGACTCAATATGACTCAATGACTCAATATGCCTCAATGACTCAATATGCCTCAATCACTCAATATGACTCAATCACTCAATATGACTCAATCACTCAATATGACTCAATCACTCAATATGACTCAATATGACTCAACATGACTCAATGACTCAATATGACTCAATGACTCAATATGACTCAATGACTCAATATGACTCATTCACTCAATATGACTCAATGACTCAATTACTCAATATGACTCAATCACTCAATATGACTCAATATGACTCAATGACTCAATATGACTCAATGACTCAATATGACTCAATGACTCAATATGACTCAATGACTCAATATGACTCAATGACTCAATATGACTCAATATGACTCAATCACTCAATATGACTCAATCACTTAATATGACTCAATCGCTCAATATGACTCAATCACTTAATATGACTCAAGGAATACCGGTAAATGTAAGAAAATGAATTGTAAACGGATTTGTCTGTCGTCTTCAAAATAGCCTATTTGAAAGATTACGCAAAATGCGCAAAGGCAAATCGGCTATTGTTTATTGAGCGACAGAACAAAAATGTTAATATGAACCTTAAAATTAAAATAAATTACTAAATATGTTTGTAACAATATCTGGCCATGTGTCACTCAGAAAACAACAGGCCAATCAGAAGAGAGGCTCATGAATATTAATTAGATGGGCCAAAATCGACCTGTTCCTAGCAGAGCTCCTGAGACAGGACCGGTACATAAGTTACTTGTCAGGTACGGTTCATAAAAACAAGCATTAGATGAATATTTACCGTTTAAACTGTTATGTTTCATCCGTCCCACCCGTGTGTTTCATTCCCGCTCAGGAGGGACGACTGAAACAAAGCACAACTCCCATTCAAAGTCAATTTTTACTTAAATCATTCTATATTTCTACCGAATAACACATGATACTAAAAGAACACATGTGAGTTGTTGATCACAAAAAAAAAATACGAAAACGACATTTGTGTTGACACTAATACTGCCTGCTATTTAAAAGAAGTGTGTGAAACCGTATGCGACATGCAGCGTTAAATAATCAAACAGTAGTATGTTGCGTTGTTGTTACGTGACCTCGTTATGTTGCGTGTTTAATTCAGCAAGTGGCATCGTTATCATATCTTGTATTTTGATTTAAAGTTGTGTAAAAATGTCTCATGGCAGTCTGATTAAATAGACAGGGATCGTACAAGGTGCTTAAAGTGCTTGAATTTGACTTTTTGACATTTAAGTCCTGGAAAACCCTTGAAAACAGCCATTTTTATGAATTATTAAAACACTTATTAAAACACAAATACAATCTTTTCACTCAAAAATGAACACTACATAAACCCCCATCAGACCTTTTCTCGATACGAAGTAGGCCAACGCCAACATTATAATATAAAACATTATTTATTGAACAATAATAGCCATTATAAACTTTGTATTTAATATATATTACTAAATACGTTGTATGTTGGATACCTTATATCTGTAATTTGAGTTAAAAAAATCCTAAAGATATTGTTTGATAAGTGCGATCTCTGATTATTGTCCTTGAAAAACAAAAAAGTAGTCCTTGAAAGTCCTGGAATTTCTTTTTAAAACAGTTTCTGTACGAACCCTGATTAGAGGAAGAGATGTTAAAAATGGTGCCTGATGTTACTTCAGGTAATGCAATATCAAGTGCATTGCATTGTGGGATACTGAAATCCACCTTACATGATGGTTTATTAGATATTTTGGCTAATTTGATCAAGCTTATTGATTTCAAACGTCAAGATTTGGCCAGTAAATGCGATATTCACAGAGTTTCCCTCACTCACTTCTCGTGGCTGTAAAATCTAGTACCTCAGATATTTAATTGAAGCACGTCTAATTGGACGGGGTGATTTAATGAAATAATGTCTCGGCCCGTCAGACACAGTGAAGTGGCCCATAATGAGGCCAAAAACCCAGGGTTTGATTAAACGTAGCTCTTAATGTGATAAGAGGGTCTGTAATTGCCTGGAGTCAGAAGAAAGAGCTCTGGATGTTGTGGAGAGTGGCATAGAAAAGGGTTTCTCTGACACACACACTGAATTGATGTTCACGGCTCTACAGAGTCACTGCGTTGCTTTCGATGTCACTTCAGGCTCGTTTTCTTTCACTCAATGAACCTAAAACATAAATGTCATTTTGAAATGCGGAAAAAATGTGTCTTTGTGGATGTACATGCCAAGAATGTGACACTTTTTTTTTTTTTTTTTTTAAGGAACACTGACTTTTCTAGCTCTTAAAGGGATAGTTCACTTTGAAATACATTTTTGGTATGTTTTAGCTTACCTCAAGGGCATCCAAGGTGTAGGTGTCTTTGTTTCCGCAGTAGTTGCAATTTTGATATCTTTAGGTCAAACCGTTCTTGTCTGTCAGTCATATAATGCAGGTCTATGGTCACCACCTCAAAGAGCAGCACAGAGAAGTCCAGATTAAACATGATTTAATGACTCGTAAATGTAAGTACACATTGATGGCCTAAGACACGAAACAAGCGGTTTGTGTGAGAAAACGAACAGTATTTATATCGTTTTTACCTCTTGTAAACACAGCCACGTCCAAGTGATCTGAGGGCGCCGCTAGCGCCGGAAAGCGCCGGAAGTGATCTCTTGGGCGGTGGCGAAAAAAATTCAGCGTTTGTCTGTTGATAAATCGAAATCGTCTTCCATTGGGATTTCCTGTATATCTAAATATGTTTAGATCTTCACAGTGAAAGGTAACACTTCCGAAATCTCTGTGTAAACAATGAGTGACGTACACGCGCGAGAGATCACTTCTGGCGGCTAAAATATATATTTTATGAAACATGTTAAACTCTAAAACTGATATAAATTCCAAGCCATAAATCTAAATAAGTTGTGTTCCAAATTTGAGGTTGATATCTCAAAAAATGAGCTTTCGGTAAGATTTTGTTTGGGTGCAGTAACAGATTTCCCCCATTGGGTGCCAGCAAAACTCCACTGGTGCACACAGTGATTGGATTTTAGATTTGCAATAGAGTTTTTCTCTCTCAAATATTACAAGCACACAAACACACAATTTTTTTTATAACACACATACTAACCACACTCAGACATCCATACCAACACACCCACACAATTATCGTTGCACAATTTATCCAATTGGCTCTATAATATGCCGAAGCAGAAAACAGGAATAAAGCGATATTTGTTTTATAGGCCAAACCTGGAAAAATGACACCATCTGATAAAAAATGGTAAAAATTAACATTTTGAAGCCTTACCAACAGAATGAAAGCCTCTTAAAAAAGATTGCATCATTTTATAGTTAAATGAACCTGGGATTAAAAAATGCAGTT